GACCGTCCAGGGCGGTCGGCAGCCCGAGAGGGGCGGTGCCGCCGAAGTCGTCCGACAACCCTGGCGGAATCAATGATCACACGGTCCCGCTTGTGATTGAGAAGCCTTCCCCCGAAAAGCTGGCCCAGCGTTTCTTAACCAGCCTGCCGGAAAGCTGGCTCAGTTTCTTAAGGGGCTTGGTAGCCCTGGATCCTAGAAACGAAAAGTGTACGTTCCTGGCTCCAGAAGCTGGCCCAGCGTTTCCTTAAGAAACTTCTGACAAGCTGGCCCAGCTTTCTTACTTGATAATCTTCTGAAATTTTGACTGGGTGTTCTTGGGCGCTTCTCGGGCCGTCTCGGGACCAACTTGGGCCATCTTGAGGGCTTCCTGGGCGCCTGCTGGCGGCCGTGGGGGCGAACTTTCGGGGAAGGCTCGACATGTCGGAGCGAGTTCTCTCTTGGGGCGCTCGCGAGAGCTTCGGTAGTTAGCCCTCTGGAGAGACCTCTTGGGCCTTCTTGTGGAAGCTTATTTTGACAGTCTTGGGGCCATTTGGGAGGCCTTTGGGCTCTCTCGGGGCCGTCTTGGGTCTCTTTCGGGGCCTTCTTGAGGGCGTCGGGCCCTCCTTTGGCGTTTCCAGGATGCCATTGATCAAACATGGGGGAAGTCTTAACCTTGATTCGCACTCTCGAGGCCCTCCTGGGGCGCTCTTGGGCACTCGGGGCCGTCTTTGGGGAGCTCGCCTGGGGCCCTCTGGCGGCCTCCGAGGCTATCTTGGCGCTGCGGCGGGGCCCCCGTGGAGGCAGGGCCTTGCACGCCATGGGGGCCCTGCCCATGTCCGGCCGGAGAGGGGGCGAAGGGCTCGCGGGTGGCTCGGCCCACCAACGGCTGCAGCGGTCTCGGGCGTGCCGGTGCCTCGTTTTCTCGAGAGGCCCCCCGTGCACGGGGTCCTGGCTGTTGACGCGGACATTGATGGACCTGTTTTCCACCACCGCCACCAGAAGTTGGAGGGGGGAAAGGAGGAGGAGGAGGAGGAGCAGGAGGAGGAGGAGGAGCAGGAGGAGGAGGAGGAGGAGGAGGAGGAGGAGGAGGAGGGAGGAGGAGGAGGAGAGGAGGAGGAGGAGGAGGGAGGAGGAGGAGGAGGAGGAGGAGGAGGAGGAGGAGGAGGAGGAGGACCCCCTCCCTCTCCACCTTATGGCGGTGGTGGTGGCAAAGAGGGCCCATCGGACGTGTCCTTGCAGCGCAGCGCCGCCCCTCGCTCTGCGCCTCGCGGCCCGCCCTGCCGCCGAGCAGGATGCTCGTGCTGTCCAGGGCCGCCGTGGAGCAGCTGCGCACGCAGCGCCTGCAGGTGCAGCAGGCCCTCGGCCGCACGAGGCAGAAGATCACGGCGCGCCAGGACGCGACGGGTGTCCCTCCTGCCTCCTCCTGCCTATGCATCCTCCTCGTCGTCCTCCTCCTCCTCCTCCTCTTCCCGCCACCTCCCCCCCCTGCCTCCTCATCGTCGTCTTCCTTCTGCCTCCCTCTGACTCCCTCCGCCCTTCCCCTTCCTTCTACTACGCTTCCTTCAGCTTGTTCTTCGTCTTCGTCCTGTCGCCCCTACGTCGCCCTCAGCCTCCTTGCGCTCCTGCCCCTCCTTTTCTTCTGCTCCTCCTCTTTCTCTTCCTCCTCCTTCTCCTCCTCCTGTCCTCTCCTCCCCATCCTTCTGCACGTCGTCGTTCACTCCTCCTCGTCCTGCCTTCCTTACCCGACCCTCCTCTCTTCCTGTTTCCTGATGCCCCTCCTCATCCTGTCTCCTCTTTCTTCTTCTTATTCCTCTTCTTCTTCTTATTATTCTTCTCCTCCTCCTCCACCTACTATGGAATAATAAACAACCCCCGTGTGCCAACACGTAAGTGCATTCTCCTTTTTCGCCCAACGTCTGTTGCCATTTGGGCGCAGCGGTCCTGAATGACGGTTGGGCGCAGATGGTGGTTGCTGGCCCGCGGACCGTTCGCCCTCGGCGCCGCGCAGCGGCGGGTCAGCAAGGTGCTGCATGGCTGAGGCCTCCTCGGCCTTCACCTGGTGCTGCAATTGAGCGAATTCGATTTCGAGGAGACGCTCGGACAAGTGGCGGCGGCCGCGGACTTCAGCGCGGAGGAGGCACGGGCTCCGCTGAGGGAGTTCGTCGACCAGGCGGTGGCCGAGGAGCCGCTACAGACGCGGCTGCGGGCGCCCCACGGCCGCTTCGGACAGGCCATGCTGGAGGGCGCCCTGGCGGCGAGCTTCTTTGCCGCGTGCGAGCTGGAGTGGCGCGAGGCCGTTCCGCCGCCAAGGGCCCCCGCGCTGGCGGGAAACCGCTGCGCGCTGAAGTGCTGCGCCGCTGCCGAGGAAAACCGCTGCGATGTGGAGGCCCGAGAGTGGTCACGCTGGAGGCCGCGCCTGCTCCAGCTGCTCAGCGAGGCAGATGCGCCCTCTCAGGGCGAGCGCTGGATGGCATCGCGGGCCGCGCGCGCCTCAACACAGTGAGGTCGTAGGTGCGTGCGGGCGAGACGTTGCGCCGATGGCTCCTGCGCGGGCGCAGCACCCCGTGCCGGAGGACGGTCGTGCACTTCATCGATTACGTGCGCGCCAGGGCTTCCGAGCCCTGTGGGCCGACGGTGCTCATCCAGGCCCTCCACGCCCAGTCTTGGACCGAGCGCGCGGCGGGCTCTACCCGAGAGCTAGGCTCTCCGCTCGGCCAGAGGTCCAGCAGGTCGTCGAGATCACGGAGATGCTCCTCGGCGCTGGCAGGAGTCCGACGATGAGGGCGGCTCGATTCGCCAGTGCGTTCATTGTGGTCTTGGAGCAGCTGGTCGCGGACGAGGGCCTCGCGAAGTACCTTCGCGGGTCGTTGTGATTTCGCCTTGTCAAGGTTTGGGCGGTGCTGCTCTACGACGACCGTGGCTGGCTCCCACCTCGGCGCTTCGCCTTCGAAGGCGGCGGTCTGGCGGCAACGCTGGCGCGTGCGAAGATCGGCGGTGCAGGGCGCAAGATGCTGGAGCTGCCGCTGGTGGCATCTCGCGAGCGATGCATGCGGGGCCTGTCGTGGATAGAGACGGGCTTCCGCCTGTGGCAGGAGATCGCGGACTTCGAGAGGGACCGCTTTCTGCCGCGGCCTGACGGCGGCGGCCGGGATGTGCCCGGCAAGGCCGGCGGAAACGCCGAAGCGGCAGCGGCGGATGCGCTCCGCGGGATGCTGGCGCCGGCCTTGGCGGGCATGATCGTGGAGCCCCTGCTTCCCGAGGAGGTCGTGGCTTCTGCACAGAGCATTCGGAGCGAGCGACGATCCCATCACCCTTAGCGGCGATAAGGAGCTCGAAGAGCGAGCGCTACTACCTGTGCATGTGGTCGCCAGAGGGCGCGGACACCCGCGCGAGGGCGCACCGCGCCGTCGTCTCCAGGCGCCACTAGCAGTTCGCAGTGGTGCTGCGCTCGGGTAGGGCCTTCGTGGAGCTGGACGAGGCGGCGGCCGTCCCGGACTTGGCGAACTGGCTGGTCTTGAGGAAGACCTTGACTGACTGTGAGGCGACGGACGTAGCGGCCAAGACCTACGGGGGCTTCCGCCGCGACGGCGTCGCGGAGGAGCCAGTGGCCGAGCTCGACCGCGACGGCGGCGACTGGGGGAACATCCAGTTCGGGGGCGGGGCGCAGCAGCCCCCGCACGAGAGCGCAGGCCTCGAGGAGACCGGCAAGTACCTCATCGCGTGCACGAAGACGAGCAATGCGGCCAGGTTCCATGCTCGAGGGTGGCGGCTGCTCCCTGCAGGTCGCCGCTGGGCTCGGTCTATTCCGACGAGGTCCCGGATGGTAGAGTATGACATGGTTTGCCAGAGGTGACGGTGCCGCATCGCGAGCCAGGTGGCGGTGGCAGCCTCCGAGAGCGGCGGCGAGGGTTCGGACACTCGTGGAGTTCCGTGGGCCTCGGAGTGCCTGGCGAGGTTGACGAGCAGGAGGCCGCGGCGAGGTTCCGCGCGACCTTGCGGGGCGGGGGCCACGCCCGCGCGCAGGCGGGAGAAGCGTTGAGGAAAGCGCCGGCAGAGGCGGAGCCCCATGCGACCCTTCGGGATGGGGGCCGCGCCCTCGCGCTGGCGGGAGAGCTGGCCGCCGCGTGGCCTGAGGCGCGCCCCGGGCATGTAGCCAGCCAGCAGGCCGCGCCCGGCTGATCCATTGCTGGGGGGGGGGGGTCCGCCTGGCCCCCGCCCACCGTTGGCGCGCCTCTTGGGTCGCCCCGAAACCCCGTCTTCCGGCGGGCGCCCCCCTGCGGCGCTTCGCGCCCCTGGGGTGACCTAGGTGGCCGCTCCAGGGGGGGGGGTCCGACGTGCTTATTGTTTTCCTCCCCGCTGGAAATTTACACGCCCCCGAACGTGCACCGTCCAGCTTCGCACCCCGCGCCGTCGGTCGACTAGCGCTCGCGACACCTCTTGCGAGCGCCGCCAATCTCGCGCGGGCCCTTCAGATGCGCGAGGCATCATGCTGTGCGCAGACCATTCAGCCAAACCTGCGCGCGTGGCTCACCGTCGGCTTCGCGTCGACGGCGCGCTCGCCGAGGCCTTCCATCAGAGCATCTCCCGCGCGCCGTGCCCGAGGCCGAATCGCCTCGGTCGGTTCCGGGGGCTGACCGCCGACCCGCCGCTCCCGCGCGGGCGCCCGCAGTTCGGCGCGAACGGCGAGCGTCGGGGGCCGCTGCCGCCGCCCTCCCAGAGGGCTCGAATCGCTGGGGCGTGGGAAGGGCCACGAAGCGTTCAGGACCGCGGGCGCCGCGGCTTCGCGGCCAACCTCGCCTGGAGCCGCTCACTGAACCCACGCGCGGTGCAGGCCGCGGGCTCGGGGGCGCCGGGGAAGGGCCCCCGCGCGGCGCAGGGTGGGGCGCGGGGGCGCCGCAGAGGGCCCCCCTATGGACAGCGGCCCGCCCGGCAAATTCGAGATCTACACCGACGGGCGCAATGCCGAGGCCCCGCCGCGCAAGTGGGCAGCGCCTTCTCCGTCGAGCGCCGCGGCAGAATAGGCGCCGTCGCGGCCTTCGTAGAGTGGCCCCCGACGCGGCGGATCTGATCGGGGCGCTTTCGGATTTCGACGGCAGCGCACTCGGGCGCCTTGCTTTCCGGATGCCGCGCGGGCGCCGTCGTCGCAGCGTGGCGGACGGAAGGGGGGCACGCGCGCCTGCGAGGCCCCCCCGCCCGCCCATGCCGAAGCACGGGGCCGCCGCGCAGTGCCGAGCGCGTCGGGGGGCCTGAGAGACTTCCGCGATGGCGCGGGCCTCCTTTCGCCTGGCCGCTGGGGCCCAGACCTTCGGAAGCCCCTGGACTGGCCCGACTCCGAGAATGTCGCGCAGGCCGCGGGCGGCTCGGCAGCCGCGGAGCGCGCGCCGCTCGAGCTGGCAGCGCGGGCGCGCCCGCCCGGCCGGGGCGGGCCCGAGCGAGCCGCCCAACCTCGTGAAGGATGTCTACGAGGCAGCTGGGGGGCCCTCGAAGGCTGGCTGGAGCAGAAGGCGAGCAGGCCACCGCGACATTTTGGGCCGCGCCGCAGCGGGGCAGCCCGTCCGCCTCCGCCTGCCAGCCGCGCCCCCGCGCGAAGCAGGGGGCCCGGGAGCAGACTAGACGAAGGAGCTGGCGACGTGGGGGTCGCAGCGGGCGCGCGCGCCCTGGCAGGAAACGCTCCTCGAGGCGCTCGCGAAGTGGCGCCTCGACCGGGGGGCGGCCGACTGGGCCGCCCTAGAAACGGTCAACTACGGCAGCGCGAAGGACAGCTGCGACCGGCTCCGGGACCACCTAGCGGACGGGGTTAGGTCGGGCAGGGTGGCCAAGATGTCCGAGGAGCAGTTGCGCCGCCGTTTCCACGACGAGTGCGCCATGGCAGCGCTGGCGGTCCTGGAGAGCGCGAGCGGCAAGAAGCGACTCGCGCGCGATGGCGCGCGCGAGGGCGCCGTTTTTTAATCGGGCCCGACGCGGGGGCCGCTGGAGGATGCCGCGGCCCACGGAGAAGAATCACCTCGTGAGTTGCTGCAGGGGCCGATGCGAAGTCGTCTTCTCGCTCGTCGCCGACGCGTCGGCCCATCGAGATCCGCGAGGACGAGTGGGGCATGCTGGCCTGCGAGTGCGGGGGCGACATCTACTGCGACACCACAGGCACCTTCGGCATCTCAAGCGCCTCGGGGGCCAGGATGTTCGGCGACGTGGCGCGGGCAGTGTCTGGTCCGCGAAGCAGCTCGCCTGCGCTGGCGACCTTGCAGCGATCGGCCCAGATTGTCGCGGGAGGTTGGCCCCCTTCTTCGCGGTCGTCGGCCTCGGCGCCCCCCGCTTCCCGGCGCGGGGGGCAGGGCGCGGGGCGGCCTCGAGGTGGATTGGATTGGCCGCCGCTGCGATTGCGCAACCACATTTCGCCGCGGGCCCCATCGGAGGCGAGGGCGGCGCGCGTGGCGGCCCGGCGACTAGGGGCGGTCGGGCGCGGCGCCGTCCGCGCGAGCGAGATGGCGTCGGGTTTGGGGCGCCCGGAAATTTCGCGGCGACGGTTTCGGCCGCTCTCGGGGGGCCCGCTTGATCCTGGGATGCCGGCGTCGAGAGGGCAGGTCAGAGGAGGGTCTCCTTGCCTAGTACGGTTAGGCTCGCGCTGGCGCGCGTCGACAAGCGGCCGGGGGCGCCCGTCAAGTTCGAGACCGAGATCGCTGGGCACCCCCGCCCTGGAGCGACTGCAAGGGCGGGGCGCTGCCGGGCTGGCGGCCGGGAAGCGCCTTCGGGGCGGCGACGGCCGGGGGCCCCGCTGGCGCGCGCTGGAGGTGGAGAGGGATTGGTTCCCATGGGCGTGGACCAAGGCAAACGATTAATCGAATGGGGCCATCGCGTTGCCGGGTCTCCTCGGCGCGATCCCCCGCGGGGGGCTCTCGTCGAGGCCCAGAACGCTCCGCCAGAGGGCGAGCCTCAAGATGGCGGGGCGACGGGCAACCTGGTGGCCCCCGCGCGGCGCCCAGGGCCATGTCCACCAAGCGACAGTTGACGGCCCTCCTCGCCGAGCTTTCGGGGGAGCTGAGGTCGCGCAGACTGGCGCTGAGCCTAGATTGGCCCCCGCGCGAGGATGGCCAGGGCGCGGGCGCCCTCTGTGAGATGTGGGCGACGGACTCTGACGAGTCATTCAGGATCCACGCGGCGGCAGCGGACATGAGGTGGCACGTTCTCGACGCGATGGCGCGGGCCCCCCCGGGGTCTCTTCGACGAGGTTGTCGAGGAGAGGGCGGCCGTCGCGGATGGAGCGCCCGCCTCGGGAGGCGGCTGCGGGCGCCGTGGGCGACGCGTGCGCCTGGGGCCGCGGCGGCGGCTGCGCTCGAGCACATCTTGGTCGGTGCTGTTCGAGCGAGGGCCGGGTAGTTGCGCGCGTCAGCATCGGCGGGGCCCCGCGCGATCCTTCTGGGCGGGGCCCTGCCCGCGGGGGCCCGGACTTGGCGGGTCGTCTCGAACCCCCGCCCTCAAGAGAGCGCCTTCACTGCGGGGGCCCCCATCCTGCCCGCGGGCCCCCGCCCCTCCGCCGCGGGCGGGGGCGGGTGGCCAGGGCGGGAGGGGCGCCCCAATCGCGGAGGGCCTTCAGGGAGCCAGGACCCGGAATATCTACTAGTAACAATTGTATCACCGTCAGCTCCTCCCCCCTTTTGCCGCCTTCGCACCGCTGGCAGGTTTCGTCGAGGATGCGCGCCCGTGAGCCAATGCGTAAGTGTATCCTCCTTAACTGCCCGACGCCTGTTGCCATGTCGGCTCAGGCGTTCGGCCGATTTCGAACGCGCCACCCACGACCCTGGGGTATCAACTTTCGAGGGGTGGCAGGGAAACCATCGGGGGTTCGCGCAAATGTCTTCGATCGGCGCCGGACTTCCCTAGGGTGCTCCGCGCTGTAGGGGAGGGCGGTCCAGTGCCGGCCGAAGAGATTGGCGCGGACCTCCCAACGCTGAAAGGGTTTAATGATGTTATTGTTTGTTCCTCTATTTCCTTTTCCCCTTTTTTACTCCACCTCCTGCACCCCAGATCTGAAAAAAAAGGTAGTTATCCCGTTAATTGTTCCTCTACTTCCTCCTCCTCCTCCTCCTCAGCCAGTTTTTTTCTTCTGCTTCTGTGTCGTCGTCGTCCTCGTCCTCGTCCTTGTCGTCGTCGTTGTAGTCCTCGTCGTCGTTGTCGTCGACGTCGTCGTCCTCGTCCTCGTCCTCGTCCTCTTCCTTGCCCGTGGGCAGCGCGCCAGGACGCGATGCTGGTGATGGAGCTCGAGCGGCCGAGCGGCGAAGACATCGCCCAGGCCAGCTGGTGGGAGCCTATGTCCACCTCCTCCTCCTCCTCCTCCTCCTCCTCCACATCTTCCTCCTCCTTTTCCTCCTCCTTCCTCTTGTCATCCTTCCGCCTCCTCCTCCTCCTCCTTTTCCCCCTCCCCCTCCTCCTCCTCCTCAGCATCCGCCTCATCCTCGTCCTCTTTCTTCGTCCCTTCTTCTCTCCTCCCTCTCGTCCTCCTCCTCCTCTTCCTCCTCCTCCTCCTCGTTCATCGGTTTTTCCATGCGGATATCTCCCCTTCGTCTCCTAGTCGGATCACCACACGTGTGGGTAGGCCGGGCCTTGCGGTTCGCTCCACATTTCGTTGCCTCTTGTGACCTTGAAGCTTGTAATTTCCAACGGGTACAGGGATGGAGGCTAGGTGGTTTCCAGCATGGGGCCCGAAAACCGCCTACGGCGGATCCTCTGAAACAGGGGTCTCTCGCCTTATCGCCGTGCCGTGCACGGTTCCTCTGCAAATTGGGTCTTCCACTTGATGGAGGCCAGACGTTTGAACATATGTACGAGCTGCACATACTTATGGAGGGCGGTTGTTGTTCAAAATTAAGCTGTCACGCCAAATGCCTTCAACGCTCATGGCCAGAAGTGCAAATATGCCCACCAATTCCGCACATGGTGGCGGTTCTTTTTCAAAGTGGGTATCTCGCTGGACGCTTCGTTGAACTGTATGGGCATAGCGTTTCGCGTTTCGCGTTCCTTCTGACGCAAGGCATTTCCTTTTCGAAGCGTGGTTTTCGTTTGAATAGCAGGTTCATGTTTTACATCCGTATTCATGTACATTATATGTATGTAGATGAATAATAACCGAATGCATCAATAAAGTAGAAACGCGTCATGTAGTGAAAGGGACGGTTTGCAGAGAGACTGGTGAGGAGGGGACTTGGAACGGGAGGGTGTATTGAAGCATCGTTGATGCATCTAGGGTCTGTATTGACCTTCCTCCTCCTTCTCCTCCCTCTGCCGCTCTGCTTCCTTATATTCCTCCTTCGTCCCTCCTATCGTCACGGTTTCTTAGTTGGGCAAGCGCTGGCTAGCTTGAGCCGTCGCGTCTTGGTGGTAACGATCAGGGAAATTGTCGGAAAACTGTTCGGAGCTTTGCGCTCGATAAAATAAAGTTCAAACCCTGGTACTGCAGCAGCGCGCGTCGGCGAGAACCACGCTATGCGCAACAGTTGGGATCAGCAGAGATTCAGGAGTATGTTGCAGCGCATGGGTGCGGCAAGGATGACTCTGACACACACGTCTATACCCCTCCGCTCCCCCGTACACCTTCGAGAAAGGGCCGATGTAAAGATACCCTCGAGTACCGTGCGCGGTAACTAACATGCAGATGCGGTGCGCCACGCCCACCGCATCATATCCGAACCATTGCTTTTGAAGGTCGGTGCAGGGCCAACTTGCACAATTCCCCTCAGAGTTCCTCCACCACCTCCAAGCTCCACTTCGCTCATCCTCCTCCTCCTCCTCGGATGCCCTAACCGGGGGTCATCGCTTGAAAGTGTGGTCTCGGTGATTGGATGCCTTCACTGAGGGTCATCGCCTGAAACTGTGGCTGCCTTCGCCGACGGCCGAAGCGGTCAACACGTTCGCAACAGTCGACAGGCACGGGGTGTTAGCGTTCATGATCCATCCTCTTCCTCTCGAGATCGCCCCCGCCTCTTCCCGGCGCCGGCTCAAACTTGGGGAGGTACGCGCACACACGCAT